TTTATTTTGGAAACAACACAGTAAAGGGCTTGTTCATGTTTATGTGTACAAAATGTGTTTGTCTTTCTTAGATTTATGTCTGTAATAAATTTATCTTAATGTCTTAAAATTTTTATAGTTCATATAAATAAGTACAAACAACATGATTTGGAGTGTTTAGCTGTTCTTTGTGGTCTCTGTGATTCATACTGATTGATTTGTAAAGATGTGATATTGTATTCTAAAAAAAAATTAAAAGGAGTGTAGAAATGCAATTATGAAAATGTACATAGTGCCTAAAAACAATCACCCAGCTCTCCAGCCAAGTCTGGAAGCAAAGTCTCTGTATGATATCATCACCTTGCAACATTTTTTTCTTGGCTGACAGTTGACAGTATTTGTGTTGTAACGTGTTAATATGACTGGCAATGGCGTTTGCAAGTCCTGTTTCTTGTACTCTTTGTAGGTACTGTACTCTGGTTTTAGAATAACTTTGTCTACTAGATCCTTTATTTTACATGCCTTTATTCCGCCAGGCTTTGTAAATTTTAGTCAAAATAAGAATGTTTGCTGTCATAGTGGCAGCCTGCCAGATTGTTCTTGGACTGCATTTGCAGTTACAGGAGGTACAAAAAGCAATAGAAATTTCTGTTGGTGTACCAGGCCCTTGTACCTCCAGTACTAGCAGAAAGGATTGTTGATAATTGAGAATGACCAGGAAAGATAGGTCCCATTTCCTGGAAATGGGATATTCAATAAATGAAAACCTTAACACAAAATAAATTTATTTCAATGTGAGTTCTCATGGATTACAATTTAGTGTTTTTAAAGAGACACAACAGTTCCACTAAACTTATATTATTGTTACTGGAACAGGCAAATATGGTTGCTCTTCAAAACCTAGTTTTTTTAAGGAGACACAACAGTTCCACTAGACTTATTTTTATTGTTACTGAAACAGGCAAATATGGTTGCTCTTCAAAACCCAGGGTCCAAAGCAAGGATGGGAACCATGTGGCCTCTAAAGCTCATTTTTATAGCTCTCAGCTTGCCCAATACTTTATTATTATTTTTTAAAAAGCAAACAAATGCCTCCTCCTTTCCAAGACATGACATAATTCATGAAAAATTCTGCAGTTTTAAGAGCTAATTCAGGCATAGCTAACAATGCATAGACACCCAAAACTCACAATACTGTAGCTGTATAGTATAAATCAGCACCTCCCTAATAAGCCTGTCATCTAGTACAGTGGTTCTCAAACTGGGCTCCCCAGATGTTCTTGGACTGCATTTCCCAGGAGGCTTCACCACTTGTTGTGTTGGCCAGGATTTCTGGGAGTTACAATCCATATGAGGACCCAAGTTTGATGACCACTGATCTAGTAGACAGGTAGAGGGAAAAAGCCCAGATACACAGCAGAAACCTATAAGCAGGAAAGGGAGGGTAAGGAAGTATATTGTTACTGCTAAGTGACACAGTGAATGATTACCACTGTTTGTTACCTTGCCTCTGCCCCCACGCATGGTTACCTTTTGAGTCATGAATACCCCCATGTTAAGAACTATTTACTTCCATGAAGAGGCAAAGAAATGTAAAAATTGAGTTTTTGACCTTGTTTGCCATTATGCAAATTCAAATAATACTTTGATGCCCTGTTTGAAATCCTGTTTATGAATAACAGTAACAGTGGGGAATGCTGAAATTGTTGGCTTCTGTGTCGTAGTTGCCCCTACCTGATCTGTAAGCTCCCCCTGGAGAAACCCATTTGATTTGCTCCTCACTTGTATTAGTGCAAAGAAGGCAGCATACATCCGGTTTCTTTAATGAGGATTATTCCTTCTAAAAATCTTGCACCTCTGTCCTTTCTGTCCTGTGTTTTCACCTGCTTTCCCTCCTCTGTTCCTCCTTGGGAACGAACAGATGTCTGCACCCAGAGAGTGGCACTTAAACTGACCGTCAAGCAGGCCTGACAAAGAAAGTCTTTTCAGGCCCTGCATTGAAACAACCCTGTACAGTATTTTATTACAGCATGAAATTAGAAGTGAAAAGCCTCACAGCTCCTGCTGATTAGTAATGAGGAGTATGTCAACATAGAAGGCTGAGGTACTTCTAAAAGAGAAGTGGGGAGCCAGAGCCCAGAAGTGGGGTAACATTTTAGACAAAGGTAGCCTCTCCCTTCCCTGATGGGGGTTATTTGGTGGTTTGTAAAATCATAGTAGTGTAATGGAAAGTGTAAAAAAGTGTTTTATAGTAGATCCTTCTTCAGCTTTGAGTTTGGAAAAGAATTTCAGAATACGTATTTTATTCAGGTGTGCAGTCTAAAGAATCAAAATGAATGGGAATTTGTGTAACTTGTGACACTGCAAGTATCACCTTAATTTTATCAAAAGGACTGGAAGCAATGTTTTTACTGTATTGAAGCAGTGTTTTAAACAAGTTAATTTAGATTTACTAACAAACCATCGTCTAATAGCTTGGTATGGAAGATCTACCTATCTACCTACCTGCCTGCCTGTCTGTCATGATATAAGCCACCTTGGGGCTTTTAAAGGAAAAAAGTAGGATAAAAATATTTTAAATAAAATATATATCTGCCTACCCATCTGTAGAGGTTTGTTTCCCCTTTAATTTGACATGACACATCCATCTAGATTCATTTTTGGCAAATAGTAAACAATTTTGTCTCGTATATACTTCCCAGTATGGTTGTGGGGGGCTTAATTGAACAAGCAAGTAATGGTGATTTTAAATAATAGCAAAATGATACTGTGGCTTTAGTTTAAAATAAAGTGAAAAGGTAATTGAATGAGTTGAAGGATATTCCTTTTGTATTGTTTTATGTTTGCTAAGGATCTGAAATTTCTAAGAATATGTGACATTTTCTGTTAATGACATCTCTGCATTATGTGTGGGTGCCAAGGCATCATGTGAAATATAAGTGATTGATGTGTGAGGGCATCTATGGAGACCATGTTTAATTTCTTATGGTACTTAAAATAATAATCTTTTTTTTCATGCAAGGTTATTGAAATTGAGAAATGGATTATTTCAGTGATGCCAGAAAATTACAGTGTACGGCTCACATCTGTTGAACACATTCTTCAGTTTTAGAATTGTGTGATACCATGGTACAAGATGCTAAAGAAGAATTACATCCTAGCAAAAGTGTAGGTTTAATGTTCAACAAGACAAGAGAGATGAGAAATTGAAGGCAGCTTGGCTTGTTATGTGACTCACCTGGGTGGGCATGGCAGTCTTTGTTGGAACAGTGACATGCAAATCATTAGTCTAATAGCCAGCAGGTTGTCAAATTTGTACCATATAGTATAGGTCCAGCGCAGCAAAATGAGATGATAGAGGCTGGAGGTCATAGAAGGGAATGACCGCTTCTGATTGCCTATATCAGGGGTGTCCAACCTTTCACCTTTCCTGGGCCACATTAGAAGATGAAAATTTGGTTTGGGCCGCACATAAATTTGGTTTGGGCCGCATGGGGGGCAGCCCTAGCCGTCCTTCGCAGCCCCGCTCCAAGCGTGCTTACCGGCAGCTGCAATCTCAGACAGCAGAGGCTGCCGGCTTCGACTCTGGTGGCTTTATGGGGCCCACCTATTGACGGGGACGGCACAATGCAGTCACACAGCCCCCTCTCCCCTCCCCTCATACTCCCTCCTTCCTTCCCTCTCCCCCCCCTACTGTTGTGACGTGCCCCAGCCACAAGCGCCGGCAGTGTAACTTGAAACTTTGGAATTTCTTTTAAAATAAAAAAATTGCATTGGGCCGCATTATGAGCCGACCTGGGCCGCATGCGGCCCTCGGGCCACAGGTTGGACAAGCCTGCTGTAGACCATCTTGACTACTGCCATTGGTGTCGTCAACATTCAGGCTATGCAAAGCTTGGCTTCCTTTTTCCTGATTGGCAACCTGCCACAAGGGGCGGCAGTGTAACTTGAAACTTTGGAATTTTTTTTTTTTAATTGCACTGGGCTGCATTATGAGCCAACCTGGGCCACATGCGGCCCTCGGACCGCAGGTTGGACAAGCCTGGCCTATATGAAAGCAACTTTTTTGAGTGCTCCTCTACTTAAAACAATCCCTCCAATTAGAAAACAGAGACAATGCCTAGAAATGGCTTAATATTAGGCTAACTGTTTTCAGAATTTTCATGAAACAGTAAATTAATTTAAAAAAATATTAATTAGTAGTCCAGTTCCCCAACGTATTATGTGTAAAGCAGACTACAGCTCTTAATTTTTTTTATGTGGTGGGGTAGAGTGCTTGTTTAGGATTGAAACTTCAGATGCCACTCTGCATGAGCTTGGTCCAGTCATTTCCCCGCAGCTTTACAAGCCTCACAGACTTGGTATGATGATGAAAAAAAAGTGAAAGCCATGTGTTTTACTGTAGGAAACATTATACTGTATAATATATGGACATGGGCACTTCAGCAGTGCTGGTATAATGCACAGAGAAAGTATGTGTAATTTGCTTTGTATTCCCTTGGAAGAGGAATTTTCTGCACAGTGGAGCTGTAATTGATAAAAGGAGTGTGTCATTGGGACCTGGCAGAAGAATAAGATAAATATGGCAAAATCCTATTGTGTAACTATGTGTTTGCAACTTGAGGTTGTGCCCATGGTAGTTACAGTAGTGCAAAGGCAGAAATGCTGTCTGTGCAGCACTTTCACCAGGGACATCTGAGTGACTACGCAATTGATTAGCATAATTTTTTATTGCTGGGAGTAACTCCCATTTGAACAGGATTTTCCCCACTGAATAGGAATAGGAGATACTGATAATGTTAGTGCAGTAATGATTCAGAATAACTGTAGTTAACATAGACATAATTTGAAATTCAGTCGTGGAGTCAATTCACGATATTGTGAGTTTGTTTTCATTTGCATCTGCCTTTAATTTTTATTCCTTGGTTATTGTACAGGGCCTTTAACTTCTAAGAAGCTACCTTTAAAATTCTTCATTTATGCCTCCAGTAAATAAACTTTTTTTAAATAATTATTTTCAGTGTCTGGAGCCCTGCAAAGAGAACTGGGACTTGAAGAAAAACCAGTGCCAGAGTTTCTGTGAGGTACGTCAGTCATATGTTTCTGTTCTGTATGTTTTATTCGCACTACTAATATCAGAAGTCAGCTTACTAAAAGTGAGTAAAGGACATTAATGATGCATGACATGGCATGCAGCATCTGTCCTGTATTGTAAATGATAAAGGAAGAAATAGATTAACACATATGTATGTTGAAATCATTTACACTGACACAAGGATTATTTCAGTGCTTACCTTGAGTTCATATATATATAATTATTATTTTCTGCTTTAGACTGCTGATTGGTATCTACCTTTGCTTTTGTAATAGCCACATGTCTTCTTTTACATTTTTATTCATGTAAATAAGGAATGGACAAAGGGCAGGTTGAGATCTACTTGTGCTAGATCAGGAAGAACCTCTGAGCCGTTGGTTTTTTTAAAGCAGCAACAGCAAGAAAGCTTCCTCCTCTCCTTAAACTAGGTATCTCGGATGCAGACTGCTTATGGAACAGAGAATAGAATTTTACTTGAAAAGACAATTAATGCATAGTACTGAGAACAAATTCTTGACTGTAGGACTGCCATAATTCTTCATACAGTGGTACCTCGATTTATAAACTTAATCTGTATTGGAACAACGGTCGTACGTTGAAAAGTTTGTAAGTTGAGGCATACGTTGAAAAGTTTGTAAGTCGAAGCAAGATTTCCCATAGGAATGCATTGAAAACCATTTAATCCATTCAGGCCGTTTTTTTGTTCGTATGTCGAGGCGCTGTTTTTAAATACAGTGGACCCTTGACTTACAGACGGCTTGACTTACAGACTTTTTGAGTTACAGACTTCACTGGCCACAAAATTTAGGTTTGACTTGCAGCCTGAGAATTGACTTACAGACCAGAAAAAAACCAAAATGGAACAAAAACGGCCTGTTACGGGACTAATCGGTCTT